GATCTTGACCCTCCTTGGCACTCCTCATATAATCTGGGCCTTCGTAAACCTGACCCAACCAAGCCCCACCAGATACACTCCCAGATGCATTACTGGATTCTCTACACACACCCACTGCATCCCCTGTGTGCTTATTCTACCTGCAGAAGAAGAGATACCTCCCATAGAAACCTGCAATCACTTCCCAGATGGACCTCACCTGGTCAGCAAACGCATCACTGATGGCTTTACTTGCATTCCACACTCCCAGCCCTGGATGGCTGCAATGTTTTACAATTTTGACCACTACTGTTCTGGAGTTCTGGTGCATCCACAGTGGGTGCTCTCAGCTGCGCACTGCTGGAGACCGTAAGCAAATACAGTAAATGTTCCTCCAAGGGGGGTCAGTGCACTGGACTGGGAGGGGTGGAGCATGCCTTCTCCTGAGCAGGGTACTGTAAGCAGGGCTTAGGGTCTGACAGTACAGTGCAGGGAAGGGCATGACCCAGACTGCATTTGAGCACACACGGCCCAGACTTGGCCCAGCATGGGGTTCCAAAATTGCAGATGGGCTGGGACTGCTAGTGACCCCCTCCCTAGGGGCTGGACTCGGCCAGGGCTGAGACTTTGAACCACTAGGCCTGGAAAAAGGCTGGAGGAACAATCATTGGGGATGCCTGGCTGGGAGATACAATTCTCTAGGCTAGAGGAACATTCACGTCTCTTTGCTGGGTCTGAAGGATCCCTCATGTGGGAAGAGAAACTATGCAAGACCCTGTGGTTGACCCGAGTGTGAAAGTTCAGAGGAGAAGGTGGCTTGAGAGAGGCAGGCTTGGATCTCATTTCAGCCTCTAGGAGCCAGGTGATGTAGACAAGGGGCCCATTGTCACCCAGTGCAAGGGGCCTGGGACAAGGCGAGGGAGACAGACGAGGACAGAGCCAGGTGGATAGGGACCGAGGTATGCACTTGGCTGCTGGGTAGGGTACAGGGAGAGATGCACCAAAGCTTATATCGGGACAAATATGTTAATGCCTTATTTTAAACAAATTAATACAATGCAAACATTCGTGATGATCATAATATCCACATTTGAAATAAACAGGATCCTGTGGGTGTGGGACGAGTGTGAGTTGTACCTCCAATTCCATTTTCCCTTCAATTTCTGATATGTTCTGCATTTTGGACTACTTTTTTGAATTTAAAAATATTATACTGAACCACAATGTTAGTGGCTCCCTCAATTAACACATTAGACAATGCTTCTCTTGCCCCAACCTTAATAAACAGCTTCTGGGACTATTTTGGGGTGGATATTGGGATAGGATTTGAACGCTGTCCAAGTGGGGATGAAGCTGGCACCAGGGTTGAGTCTGAGTGGGGTGGAGGGTGGGAATGGCAGTAGGGATGGGACTGAACTTGAGCATGAGTGGGGGCTGAGGCTAGGATAGGATTTGGGCCTGTAATGGAGTTTGGGTTTCTAGAGAGGATGTACTTACTATGGTACTGACTGTCCCATCGTCCTCAGATCCTACACCATTGGGCTGGGCCTCCACGGACTTTATGATTGGTATAAACCAGGCACCCAGATTATCCAGGCCAGTTTCTCTGTGAAACACCCACAATTTGTTAAAAATGCATATAGTAGTGACGTCATGCTCATCAAGTTGAACAACCCAGTTGTGCAATCAGACACCATCCAGACCATCCCCGTCGCGTCCCAATGTCCAACACCTGGAACGAGGTGTTGGGTCTCTGGCTGGGGTCTGCTATTGAATCGTGAGTTTTGTCATTTTTTTCTCTGGCCTTATTGATACCTCTGGTGTCTCTGCCCAGGAGTGTTTCTGACCCTGTGTGCTTTATTTTAGGCTACTACCCTTTGGATCTGCAGTGTGTGGTTATTCCTGTGCTTTCGGAGAAGAATTGCAGACTCATGCTTAACATGTTCTACCACGACACTATGTTCTGTGCTGGTGGTGAGGGCCAGAAGAACATTTGCAATGTAAGAGCCTGGGGCAGGGAGGCAGGGGTTTAGCATGGAGGTGGGCCTTAAAACCCACAAAGGGAACAAGGTCATGCAGGAATGAGGGAGACACAGAGGGCCATTGGGAGAGGCAGGTGCAAGGAGAAAGAGAGAGAGAACTGGACAGGTGAGAAGGAAACAAGGAGACACAAGGTAAAGCAGCCACAGAGACAGGCAGAGAAAGCCAGGGAGAAGGAAGCAGCCAGCAGTAAAATGCAGAGTTATGATGTTGAGAAGAGGGATGGAGAGACGCCCGGGAGGGACACCAGCAGGGTCCAGGGAGAAGGAACACAGCTGTAAGAACAGACTGGTTGACTGCATTCAGAATCCACAGACCCACTGCCTCGTACAACCCCATCCTCAACTCCAAGGGCTCTCAAGCACCCAAGTTCCCACCTAGTCTCACCCTCCAACTGAAACTCAGCCAAGGCTGGAAAGGGAGATGCAGGTGGGGGTGGAGCTCCTCAGGGGAGCTTTCCGAGGGATGGGAGGGAGAGTTGGCGGATCAGAGGCAGGACTGTCACTGCCTGCCTTCAAACCATGGTTGCGTACTTGGCTTTTCAATGGCAGATCCCTCCATTTTGGCCCTTGGATCTGTGTGATTTCACTCTGTTGGGATCTCATCAGGGTCTCAGCTTGTCTCCCCACCACCTCTGCCTCCTGCACCCCCATGTGTCTCTGGGACCTGCTGGCTCTGTCTCCCCTGTTGTGTCTCCAGCTCTCACTGCTGCCCTCCAGCTCCTGCACTGTGTTTCTGCCCTGATCTCTCTTGCTCTGCTTTTGCCTCTTTGTGCTTCTGGCTTCCTCAGTGGGTCTCCCCCCATGCCCCTCTCCACCCGCCCTAACTTGCTCTTCTCTTCCCTTAACAGTCTGACTCTGGAGGCCCCCTGGTCTGCAACGAGGCCCTGCAGGGCCTTGTGTCCTGGGGATTCCATCCCTGTGGCAAACCTGAAGTTCCAGGCGCCTACACCAACCTCTGCAAATTCAAAGAGTGGATAGATGAAATCATCCGGACCAGATAACCACGGATGATGTTTTGACAGAGGAGCCAACACTACCTTCCAACCCTGTCTCTAGGCTCCACCTGGCATAAACAGTTGTTGGACTTCACTGAATCTGCTTTACAAATATATTGAGATGAAATGTGCATCTTTTCTTGTTTCATTTCATTAAGAGTGAAAGTGAAGTTTTTAAGTGTCAAATGATGTTCACAGATTTTAAGATGTTATGACATCCTTGTGTTCCTGGGTCATCTGTTGCATGGTAGAAATACCAGTGTATGTGCCCCTCATTACCATGGCAAATAGCTGCCCAGGGACAAGTTCATTGCTTGAAGTTGTGCAGTTCAGAATGACTCCAATGACTTCTCAGGATCCAGGGCAGATAGAACAGGTGGCTCAAACTCACCTGAATAGCTAAGAATCTAAGGTTGAATCACCAGCAGGTAATTATACAGCTTCAGGAAGCTGAAGGTAACACAGGTGTCAACATGACTTGCAGGTATGAGCTGTGTCAGATCAGAAGAAAGGAGGTATGAAGGAAAGAAGGAGACATGGCAGAAGTTGTGATAGAGGGAGCAGAACTGATAGCAAAGTAGAACCAAAAACTTGAAAGAAGTAGAACTGTCCTCACAGAGATGTGTTAGGGAAGTACAAGCAGAGCAGAGAGAGGCAGCATGCAAACGAACCATTATGGGGTAGTGAATATAAAAATAAATCCCTAAGTGTTACTTTTTAAAAATGCAGTGAATTAAAACAGAAAGAACACAGCTAAAATTTTAACCAATGGTGTGCTGATAAAGGAGAGATAGTAGACAATAGGAAGGAGATGGGGACGCAAATGAGGGTCAGGGGAAAGAAAAAGAAAGAAGGCAAAGAATCACACACACACACACACACACACACACACACACACACACACATGCCAACTCCACAAATCAAATTCAATTATCTCCATTGCAAACATATACCAATATAAACTTAGTGAGCTGAAAACGTCGTTGGAAAAGACACAGATGTCAAAACCTTATAAATACACAAAATAAATAGTGTAAGATCTCCTGGCACAATTGAATACACATTTGGCCGGGGATATGGATCAACATCACAAGCACATGCCTGGCAGGAGCAAGGTCCTCAGTTTGATTCCTGATACAAAAAAAAAAAAAAAAAATACCAAACCAAATGAGTACACATGAGAATGGCACACACTTACAGACACCCAGGCATGCGTGCACATGCACGTGCACACTTCAACATCAACTTTTGCGATGTCAGACAGTAGAATCCATGTGCTTGGCTGTGGGAAATAGAGCTGGGGGATCATCGTGGCCTTGTGCTGAGTAAGGAAGACAATACATTTGGAGATTCTGATGCAAACAATGCTCATACTTCCCTTTCTCCTCGCTTTGCTTAGCAGGATGCCACAGAGCAGGATGAGCTGTGTGACAGGTGCTCATTCCTGGGCCTGTGGGGACAGAGATGTGAGACAAAACATTGAACAGCAGGGTGGAGAGGGAGACAAGAGGAACATTCTAGCCACATTTCAAAAGTGAGGGCCAAGCATGGAGTGGGGGAACCCAGCTAGTAAGGAAGGCAGAGGGAGAGAGAGACACAGGCAACAGCAGACACGTAGACGACCTGCACAGGGCATGGCCGAGCTCAGCAAAGAGGAACAGGGAAGGGAAACAACCGAGGCAGGGACAGCAAGGAGTGCGGCAGAGCTGAGGGTGGGAGGTTCAGACCTCAGACCGGGGTGGGACATACGGGGCACAGGAGTCGCAGACCTTGCCTCCGTGGGCTTGGGCATCCTCAGGCACATGTCCAGCCTTGCTTTCCCGTACGAGGGACAGATAACACAGTGGCAGGGTGAGAGAGTGTAGCAGGCTTTCATCCAGATTCCTTGAGGTAGCCATGCCTGTGCCTATACAGATGCCCAGCTCTAGAGCAGTCAGAGAATGGCGAAGCCTCTCCCTCTCCCCTTTCCCCGATGATACTCAGAGAAGGGCATGATGGACAACTGTTCTGCCACACCCGCTCACTTCCCTTTTCTCCTGCTTGGTCCCCCTGGGTGCAACGAGACAGCCTCCCTCCGTGTCCTGATGTCAGTTCTATCGTTACTTCACAGCTGCTCTCTGGGCCAGCCTGACACGAGGTGCCAGTTGGTTGTCACCCACAGTGCCACTCTCCCACTCCCACCTCCCCCGAAGATGTGGCCAGGAAACAGCCACTAGTACGAAAGGGATCAGGAATGGCTGAGGCGCGTTGTACACTGTCCTCAATAAACTGAACACACAGCTCGCCCTCCTGCATGTTAAACAGCACTGGCCTGGCCATTCTTGTGGAGACATGGCACCTGTCAATCCAGCTGCAGCATCTCCCTGTAGTGTACCCTGGAACTGTCACCAGGACAACTGCAATGACTGATGATGCCCAGCTCCACTCCTGCAGATATCCACTCTAAACATATTAGGCTTGAAATTAAACTTAGGAGTCTAAGTGAATTGGCACCAGTCAGCGTTCTCAGATCAGGGACTTGAATGTGGACCAGCTTGGAAAAATCAACAAGTCTGAATTTGTACCAATAACTGGCCTCAATTTGGACAAATTGGTAGGCTTAAATACACAGCAATCATTTGGATCTACTCTGCCCCAAACACAGCCCACAATTTCAAGAAATCAAGAGGTCCATATTTGGACCAATCATAAGTCTGCTGCAGCTGTTTCAGTAGCACTGGCCTATCACTTCTGAGGTTCATTTGAAGGGCTCCATTTCCTGCTCTAAACTGTTGTGCTGCAGGACAGGTCCTCTTCACGTAAAGCCTGCCATGGCCATCCTCTGAGTGCACTCAGGATTCTTACCCCAACAGCTGTGGATACAGGGCTTGCTTTAGGAAAGCTATGAAGGCTTTAGCCCAGAAAAGCTGCAGGACCAGCAGCCAAGGAAGAGCAATGACAGAGAAAAGGGACAACGACTGGGTGACAGAGTTTGGTGACCAGGGGAGCTGGCTGGCACTGACCAGCAACAGACAGCATGGGCTGTAACCAGAGGGGCTGTGGGCATTGATGAGCAGCAGTAGCAACCAACAGCTGCGGGTACAGAGCTGTACAGGAATCGCTGACAGAGGCATGGCCAGCAGACGTGCATCTTGCCTATCTGGATTTTTATGTAATTCAAGCCAAAGCACTCTCAACTGATTGGTGAAGCCATGACCCAAAGATGAGAATTCCACAGGCCCCAGAACCCTCACGGACACCTGCCTCTGCCTTTCTGATGTCCCTGGAATTCAAGTTCCCTGCAGCCCTCTGAGGGCTGGTCTCCCACACCCGCCCCTGCACCCTTCTGCTCCTTGCTGTGCTCCCTGTGGCTCACTCCACCTGCACTATCCGTCCAGCTGGGCTCTCACGGTCTCTGGCGGGTGTTACTGTTTGGTAGCCTATGCAGCTTTTCCTTCTCTCTCTGGTCTTCATGGGCAGAGCACAGAGTGAACTCTCCTCCTCTGCACAACTCAGATCTGCAGCCTAGGACAGCTCCCTCTATTGTGTTTACATGCATTGTTTCCTTCACTGACTCAGAACCTCATCAATAGCTCATTTGTTCTCATTTATTCTGCTCTAGAGCTGGGCACCTTCTTTGTATTCCCCATAATCTGCTCTTTTCTCTATCCCCAAAGACAGCCTTTCCAGTGTGTTTGATGGACATCTT